TCATTATAACACGTAGAAAACTTTTGATCATCTAGTAATCGATAAGTGATATTATAGTACTGATTGTTCAATATTTATGTTAGGTTCCCTTTTTTTTATTCTTCAAAAATCAACATGAACCTAATCCTTTAACAAAAACAAAAAAAACAACTGACTAGAGAAAAGAAAAAGAAAAGAGATGATATGGAAAATAAGAAGAAGGATCGATCATCTATATATATATATGTATATATANTGTGGTTTTACGATGATATGCACACATTGTTTCGAATTTAACAAAATAACCAAGCTTGATAATCCCGACTACGTTTTTTGTTCTTTTCAAGCTGAATGCATTCTCTAGGAATACTGAAAAACTACCGAAGTATTAGTCGACATAGAAGATGCGTACAGATCGATTTTCATGCAGTCATATACGACGAAAAACCATTGGGATATTGCAAATAAAGAAGACAAAAGACTGTGACATAGCATCAAAATGTATCCAAAATAGCAGCAAAATGCTCGCCATGTATCGAGATTTATCACTTTATATGTGATCTAAGATGCTAAGATGAATAACAGCCAGTGCGGCAATTAGTGACATTTTGTATTTCCTTTCTCTTCTTCGAAGCCATATCAAATATTTTCATTTGGTTTTTGATTTTGATAAACTATCTTATGTCAACATTTGCGATATATTCAGAATGAGAGCTATCAACTCTATGAATTCTATCCTATCTTTATGCTCAGACTGTTTTTGCTTCATTCGAACAGTTCATATATATATATATATATGAATAAAAAGAAAGCAACCTGTCGATCGCTTGAACTACAAAGGAAATGAAAGTCTGTACAAAGATCAGTCGATTAGGCAGCAACTTTTACGAAATCAAAATTGAATAAACATATGTGTTCTTCTAGAAACGTTTAATTTTTCTCCAATAAAGAAATATTCTCATCGTATTATTTTTAAACAAAATGCAACAGTGATATCCTAGATTATATCTGGACTATTAATCTATTAAAAATATATTTGATTGTGTAATTTTAGTGCCTGGACTTATGGATCTATGTATCAACTTGGAAACGGAGCTTACTACAATATTGCTGCTAATGGCAAATATTATCTGATTCAACAAAATTGGAATGCAAAACTTCAGATATGTGCAATGTCTGCCTAAATTATTTCTTCCAATTCAGCCTCATATGAAAGACCGATTATTTTCGAATTCATCTGCATGCTGAAACACCAACTCACAGCATTTGAAAAAAAATAAATAATATTAATCATATAACTGTTAGTGATTTTAAACCTATTCACTACGAATTCTTTATAGTAAATAAATTATATGTGAACTAAGTTGTCTTGTACGCAAAAGTTGATCATTATTGTCAATATATGCATTTCTCACGAAAGAACATTCTCAAAGGAATGAATTGAATCGGATATCATGACATCCGATCGTCTGACAGCATCCGATGAAAATCTAAGTTACGAAATCACTAATGAATCTGATGGATAGATTCTGATGAATACTCGGTGATATCCAACTGTTGAAACCAGCAAAACTTTCCATCGTTGATTGTCAATAAAATTTTTATAAATTTCTACTGACGTTTTTGGATTTTCGATGAATTTCGTATATTATGAAAACATCCGTCATTTGACCTCTGCTGAACTTTAGCTGAAAAGATATGCATGAGCTCTGAATTGTGGAAATCTATCATATTTGTGATGGACTTCCAATGAAATGGCAAAGAGTGATGAGGCATAGTCACATTGTAGTAACCGTTGATAACAGCCAAATCTCACTTCGGAGTAAAAAATTTGAATTCACGATAAACATATCAAGAAAAGTTTTCGAGTTAGGGTATTTCGGTCGAAAGATGCTCATTTTTTCAAAAATGAGAATCTTTTTATGAACCTTTACCAAAAGTTATCGGAGAAGAATGATACGCACTGACGAGCAATTCTAAGAAATCTTTGAGTCAAGACTTTTAACTTGAAAAGTTTATTTCAAATTATTCTCTTCTCCAAATAAGACTCCCTAACAAAGAGCGCAGGCTCGAAGATTTCTTGACATAGGAAAAATCTCGACTTCTCAACGTCAATATCTCTGAGGCTACCTCCGCAAGTTATTTAAAAATTGAACATAACATAATGGATTGTGCTCGTCTTTTACTGCTCACTGAATCATAAATCATTTGAATAGAGTTTGTGTCCAAAAATGTCGAAATCAAATTTTTTGATGATTTCCTCGAACTGAAAAATATGCATCAATGGTCTCTCTTAGAGTTATCTGAAAGTTAACATACTATATTGCTTTAGCTTACTTTTTGCTTTTCAAAAGAAACAAAAACTCGCATTGATGCAAGTTTTGTACAGAGCAAAACCGTCCAACTAAAAAACATACAAATATGTTCATTTTGTAAATTATTTCGAGCTAAGCATAATGTTACTTTCAATACATTTTCTCATTGTCTACTTTTCGCTTAAGAGAAAAACTTTTTACGGTACGACTTGTTTCCATGCCAGGTCTCAATCTCTAATACTAATGTTTTCTTGTACTTAATATATACTTCGAAAAAGCTGTCGTCAATTGTTAGAAAGGTAGACATCAAATGATACTTCGGCCATTTTTCATTTTATCACTGAAATAGAATTTGTTTTATAGATTTGTATGCACAGAAGAGATCTAACTCACTGACACATACATTTCGCTCTTTAAATAGATGGACTCATGCTTTTCCTTTTGAGAAAATTCGTAAGTGAGTTCAGTTTCAAAAACATAACTTCGGAAAAACATTTCTATTACATAGGACAAAAAGTATTCAACAAAATTATCAAAATATTGTTATTGGTAGTGCTTGTATATACCTGAAAAACGATAGCTTAGCTAAAATTCTTATGCAGGAGTTACTGTCGTTGTGTTTACAACTGAAAACAATATTTATAAGGCACTCTTTATTTTCATGGAAATTTTAGAAAAGAACTCGCTATCAATTATTAATAATACTAGTAAGTTTTCATTTAGCATACGGTAATAATGTCTTTCTTTAGTAACATATTATTTTATAATACATCGAAACTCAGGAGTTTTCAATTTGTGTGAACGTGTAAATTAGTTTATGTATATTAAAGAAAATTGATCATACTGCTAATGGTAATTCTTTTTCTTAATTTTTTGCAAATAGAATATTTAAGATAGAAATGAAGAAGATGATCGATAAAAAGCTATTTGGAAAATAAAAATTCTCTAATGTACAGTCAGTTTATTGTCTTATTCAGTTTTTAAACACTGAAGGTAACGAAGATTGGTGCATTTTGGAAATGTTTTTATTTTAAGCTATTTTTCTCTTACTTTATCCTATAAACGATATAATGGTTCTTTTGCTATGCGAGGAGTTCTTCGACGTTTTTGTGAAACTTTTCTTTTGCGGATCTATTTGTATACTATTTTTTTTTTATCATATGAAGCTTTTATTAGCTATAAGATAAAATTAGTTAACTAAATTTTTACTCTCTTTTTATCAGTGTCTTATCAAGATAAGCATTGTACTTCAGTTTGACAAATTAGAAAATATTGATATCAAATACTGTTTCGATAAATTTTTTCTCGTTCATAGCCTGCACAAAACAAATCATTAGAATTTGTTTACATGAACTGTTCACAGCAGACTAATAATTTTGTAATTATTTGCTCAATATGTAGCATACATTAAATATTAACGAAGTCTTAGTATTTGTTTCCAATATCAGCAGTACAACGGATTACAATTAAACTTATATTGATCATATAAGTGACATTAAGTAATCTCACATTTAACCTATAACTTGGAAAACTGAAGTAAAATCCCAAAATCATTCAATCTAGACTCATATGTATTTAGCAATCTTATTAAACATGTAAAATAAAATGAGTACATCTGTTCCAGTAACACACTTATTAATTCAAATGGATAAGCCATATGAATTATAGTTTTCGATGAACTAATGATTACAGTAAAACTTTAACAGATTACTCGTATAGTGAAATATTAATAAGGCATTTATTAAAACTAAGAATTTGCTAATATTTTAAATTTAACTTAGTGTGAACATTGCCGATTGAAACAGACTAGGTTTCATATAAACACAAGTCTATTTTAATCAGTCATAACCATTGTATTGTTCCAAAAAAATCAGTGTCTCTGATACGATTTATCTATCGAATCGTAATAATTCATGGAACAAAAAAATAATATAAACTCGATGGTAAATCAATTCACGAATATTTCGAATGAAAACTAAATTTTTAAGCTAGACAATAAAAAAAGAACTATTCGATTGATTTATTTAATTACGAACTGTAGAAGGATTTTTAAGCGACTTTTATAAACATTTAAGATGAAAATTGAACTCTTGAGCTAGAAATTAGAAAAAAGAATGAAGTTCTTTTTGACTGTAATCATTAAGTATTATTTTACTTAATTATATAATTTACTTCTAGGTAAAGAGAAAAAAATCATGTTTTAAATTGAAAAAGCACAACTGTGTTGGTAAACAAAAGTTTACTACAGCAATAAAGGATACTGCAATAAATCCTCTAATCATATCTTAGAATGGTATAGAGTTTTGAGATGAATATATATGCAGAAAAAAACCAAGAGAATTTTTTCTTGTTAACATTTGAACTATAATAATATCGTTGCCAGTCGTAAAACTAGGATGAACAATATTTATGTTATGATGAAATTTAAGAATCTATCTCAAAGTGAATCAAGAGAAACAATATAACTCTTCTGATATCAAGGTTCCGAGTTTTTATGATCAAATAAGTCATGTAAAAACCTTTGACGAATGAATGATGATCTTTTTTGTCCTTTTATCAAATTATAGAGTAATAAAGTTGCTTTTCGTCAAGTACATACATATATATATATATTTGTCTTCGACATATTATTCTTTTTTTTTCATGCCGAAGTGGAAACGTAAAGTACTTGTTCTTCACTACTTTTTCAACAATGATGACTTTTTAATGAAACGAAACGAAATTCGCCCTGCTCATTTATCATATCTTCGTCAACATTCAAAGCAAAATGATGGCAATGTTGAATTCAAAGTGGCTGAATCATTAAATGGTAAGAGTTTTTATTGGCCTTTAACAACACAACAAGATGAAATGATACAATTCATGCAAGAAGATCCATATTACACAGAAGGACTTGTTCATGATGTAACCATCTATCCACGTACAATTATTGAGAAAATTTCATTATAAAAATATAAACTTCATTTTATTCCTCTAACGTTAATAAATGTTAAATCAATATCGTTCGAAAAAATAAAAAATAAAACAAGATAGATACAACAAATAATTTAAACTAACTATTGTAAAATGACAGCAATTCTGTCACTTAACATTTTTCACTTGCATCAATATTCTATAGCATTGATAATTTCCTTTAAATAATCGATTATTATGTTTCTTAACTTTTTAACTTTCATATCAGTTTCAGAAGATCCATAATGAAACAACAATTGCAATAGAGTATTGGATGTGTGGGTGTCATTTTGACCTCTTCTTGTCCGACTCCGACATCCACACTTGACCACACCAAACATTTATATAGAAACAAATAATACTTACATTTATAAACAACGGCAATCTGTTTTTCTATCGATGCATAAATATTAACAAATATTACATTTAGGCGAAAATGTTTAAAATTCTTTCCCATGTCATTATTCCACTTTGGCAACTTCAATTATCAAACTTATGTCGCACAATATCTTGTTCAATTAACTTCTGTGAAAATTATGAAACGTATTTTATTCAGTTGTAGCAACTTTTGTCGATATTTATCACACAGTACAACACCATCAAAATATATATTTTTTATGGATCAAAGAAAAGCAATTTAAAAAAAAACAGGTCTTTTTTGAAAATCATATATCTTGGAGACACAGAGGTGATACAAATGTTTTTTTGCTAATTAGTAGTTTAGGGAATTTTCTACAGAGAATATATAAGGAGTTTTTAATATCTTACGCCTGCATCTTGTACATTGTTTCTAAAAATGGGAATTTCAGTTGCCAATGGTGGGTAAAAGGGTAATATAGAAAAAAAAGAATTTGTTGTTCATGATCATTTTATTGATTAGATTAAAAGTTTTGAATATTTTCTTCAAATTTAATTGTCTAAATCATAAAATCCTTTTCCATTGGTAACATCACGTGTAACTTGTTTTATTTTTTTACGAATTGTTGCTGCCAAATGCTGTTGTGCATGTTGAGCTGTTTCATCAGCTTTCTTAGCTGTCTTGAGACCCTTAATAAAAGCTTCACAATTATTATGTAATAGTTGTTGATTAGTAGTATTCTTTAAATATGTAATGAAATTAGCTGATTGTAACTTTAAGATTGAATCGTAGGACGAATTTGCTTGAAGAACATCGATAACTGAAGATATTTCCTTTAGATAAATTTGTGCTATTGTATTATTTGAACAAAATTTTGAAAATTTTCGATTTATTCTGAACTGTTTATGATCCAAACGTGGGAGATCCTCTCGTTTTAAATGCGCTCGATCTTTATTCTGACGAGCAAATGTCAGGCCTATAGCACAGCATACCTATAAAAAAAAACTAAGAATAAAATTTTTTACATATTACTTGACGACAATTACAGTAGTTAACAAGAAAAACAAGAGTAATTTGTACATTTCAAAAATGTTCTAGTTGACTGATATTTTAATCCGTTTTTATAGTGTAATGCGCATATTGTATTTATTTTGTTTTTCATAAAAGTCGTGATTTTCTTTTATGATGATAAAGTAATTGAGAATCAAAATGACAAGAACAAATAAAGTATGAGTAAATTTACTTTTTTCCTCAATTTTTAATATTTTACTTAAATGCATACAATAAATTGACCAAAGAGTCATATCTTATAGTTATTCGTCGAGGTATTATTTAAAGAGCATGTTCAGTTTGGTGACGCACATTCATATTTGCCGCTAGACTAATTCATTGAAATAATATTTAGATCTCAATAAAAAAAAGCATGTCTCATAGACCCGATATACAAGATCTTTTCTTTTTCTTGATGAATTATTATTACAAAATAATTATTGTATATGAATTGAATGACTGATGTGTTTGATGCTTGTGCAACATGAAAACAACTACTCATATTAATTAATATTTTCTTATTTACATAGTAATCATAGAATAAACTGCACAACAAAGTCCGACTGTGAACAGACTGAACTATGATTGCATTAGATGTTCATTCGATTAGCAATATTTCAGCAAGTTAAAGATCTTTTTTCATTGTTAAACATACTATTGATTTGGACAACATTCAAAGATTTTTCTCGATTAAACCACATTACATCAAGATAGTATTGCAGTGTTATAAGTAGTTCATGTTGTTGCTGTTGTTTTACGAAATTATGTTTGTTTGTATTTTGTGATATTTCTCTTGCAAAATGTATTTTTCTGAATTTATCATTTTTTTTTATTCAGATGAAAGAACAGAAGTCACAAAGGGCATTGAAAATATCGCTAACGATGGTGTACTGTAGAAAGATTAAAAGGAAAAATATCGATAATAGAAAAATATTGAAAAAAATTATGTCTCCTGTAAATGTTGACTTATCCTCTATAGGTTATTATTATTATTGCTTTTCGCATTATTCTATTGGTCTGATATTATAACTATTAGTAATGCTGATGAGTAATATTTAATAGAGAAGAACTGAAGTATTTTGAAAAATAATATTATACAACTGAAAATCTATTATCATGACAACATCAGCTTCATCTTCATTATATGAGAATCATCTATCACCGTCAATTATTTAATTTATTCAGTCGGAAAAAAATCTTTACTTCTATAAGATAAATAGTTTTTAAAATTGCGTAAAGTAACAACGACTACCAAATATTGGATATGTACATGTATTGAAAGTTCAGCGAAAATTCATACAAATATGAATGATTAATTTATTAAAATGATTGGTGAACATTACCATCCTTCAGAAAAAGAAAAGATATGCATGAATTTCATGAAATAGTAAACATCATATTGATAAACCTGGTGAACGATGATATGATAGTCTTATAAATGTAATGGAATATTTAGATGATTTTTCATTTACAGTTCCTAAATGGGAAAAAAATGATACTATTATGTCTTTCTTCTTCTTCTTTTTTTTTGTTATCTTTTGATTTGAAAATGATCTATGTATGTTACTATGTTGATCATGTACTAAAAATTAAAAATGTCTTGCTCAATGGAAACTTTCGATATTTTTTCTTTCGACTTTTCATACAGTCAATTCTAACAATAGTCGAAAAATTAGTGTTTCATTGAATCTTTATACTGAATACTATCGATAGAAAGAACATTATATGCCAAAAAAGTTTCCGCTAGAGCTTCTAAGAATACTAAAATAATGCTGCGTAATAGAATTACAACTACTAAAAGTCTATCTAAACAATAGCCTTATTTATTTAGTCAATTTGAAATGAATCTACAGCGCGCCTCAATTGATTTTCCCTCTTGATATTTTTGTGTTTTTATTGATATACTTCTTTTATTTATTAACCTACCATATATAGAAAGAAAGCCCGGAACGCCCTGCATGTTTTGATATATTTACATTAAACATCAAATGCAATTTAAAGTGTAAAAGATGTATTAGAAAAAAAGTGGCATTTTTTTTACTACAGTGTCCACAATGTTGTAACATTTTTTATTTCGCGTATATCTTCGCTTTGGCAAATGATAATATCTTGAATTTTTTTCCAGAAGATGCGCAGTAAAAAGTTCTACAAAAGCTATATGATCGAATTCCTTTTTGCCTGTTCCAATGGTTTTTCTTATACTCAGAATGAAAAACCTACATGACAGTGTCACTGTCCATCATATTGAAAATGTTTGAAAGATTTCTTATTTTGCATGTATCTTGACTTGAGAAAACGATGGAATATTGAATATGTTTTTGAAAGATGTGCCGTCGAAAGTTCTACAAAACTTGTATAGATAAAATCCTATAGCGAATCAGAAAAGTCCTCAAAATATTTTCTATATGATGGGAAGTGACACTGCCATGTAAGTTGTTCAATTTGAGTATAAGAAAAACCATCAGAACAGGCAAAAAGGAATTCGATCGTACGGCTTTCGTAGAGCTTTTCACGGCGCATCTTCTGGAAAAAAATTCAAGATATTATCATTTACCAAAGCCGAGATATATGCGAAATAAAAACTGTTTCAACATTTTGGACACCAGGTATTGTAGTGAAAAAAATGTCACTTTTTTTCTAATACATCTTTTTCACTTTAAATTGCATTTGATGTTTAATGTAAATATACCAAAACATGCAGCGCATTCCGGGCTTTCTTCCTATATATAGTAGGTTAATAAATAAAAGAAGTATAGCAATAAAAACAGAAAAATATCAAGGGGAGAAATCAATTGAGACGCGCTGTATTTCAAAAGTACAACAACTTTATGGACAATTATTTCAATCAATCAATCAGTGTGCGAGCCAAAGATCTGGAATTGGTACTGTTGTCTTCCTCATCATAACAAGCTGACGTTCATATGTGCTAATAGCACTTGTTACAAATGTACATGAAAAATCTATTATCACTTTCTTTTTATTTTTGTTGTTTTCTTATGAGCAAAATTGATAAAAATTTAAAAGTGATAGTGTTTGTCTTCATCACTATCTTCTAATTCATTATGATTATTGCTCCCAGTAGCATTATGTGCAACTTGTTTGAATTGTCTTTGAATATCGGAAGCAATTTGTTCTCTTGTACGTTCAGCTGCTTCATCTGCTGACTTAGCTGCCTTTAAATTAGTCACAAAAGTTGTACAATTCGTTGATAACAATGCTTGATTCGTTGTATTTTGTAAATATGAAACAACATTGACCATTTCTAGTTGTAAAACTGAATTATACGATGAATTCGCTTGAAGATTACTAATAAGAGAAAGCATTTGAGTAAGATATGAGTTGGCTATTGTAGTATTTTCACAGATGTTTGCTGGAGTACGAGCATGGAAAGATTGACCAAAACCAAAAATCGACAAAAGGAAACTACCGGGATTGGCTAATGTCAATCCAATGACGAAATATAGCTAAAAATAACAATATATAATCTTGAATGGTAATTAAATAGCTTACCACAGCGAGATATAAAGATTTTTTCATGATTATTTTCGATGATATAATCAATAGTGAAGTTGACTCTATTTTTATAGTAGCACTGGCCGGTAACCTCAGAAAAAGTTTGCACTTTTTCTTAATAAGATGCAGCAAATGGTGCAGTATTTATAATATCTTAAGTAGCAATAATACTTATTCACTCTTGCATTAGAACGACGATGCGACAGATGTTCTCAAAATTATTCAGAACTTTATAGATAAAAAAGAGAATAAAAAATTTATGTCTGAACTTACTTACCTTTTGATAGATTGATGATATTCATGCCATGAAATATATTTTGATTACTTTTTAATAAATATTGAACTATATTATTTAACTTCTCTATTCAATTAATGAACAATAATCAATTTGACTGTTTAATATCAGTATCTGCCACCTACAATCTATGTAACTGCCTTAGACTAAATATTCTCATACGAACTATTCATTAAAAGTTTTAGATTGATCAATATTTGATAGATAGTCAAGTGAATTATTGAAGAGTCCATTTCGATATCAAAATTGTTGGTAAATGGCATGAACCAATTGCGATAAAAATACTATCTTACAGAAATAAGGGATCGATGATTATTTTCTCACCCTTTTACATTAATGTATGATGCAATATATATCAAAAAAGAAAAAAGAAAAGTAATTCTTTGATGCTTCATTTTATCCAATTCATTCATGCATAACAGAACATAAACAACATTGAGCGCTGGGCTATCAATCATATGAGTAAAAACATTTAATAGAAAACTATATGGAGTGACAGACATAAGTTTAGAAGAGTCATATTTGTAAGTTTTCTTCTTGATGGTAATAGCCAGGAAAAATTTAAAAAAGCATTTGTGCATCTAAAAGGATTCTCTATCAGATTTGACAGGCTCGAATACTTCAGAAAAACGACTTGAATAAAGGTCTGTGAAAAACCAAGACTCCCAAAACGAGCTTTCTAGTTTCCAGGCGAAGCTATTGCGAAAAAAAATTATTTAATAGAGCAAATGATTCTAAGCAAGTCCAGAAATCTCCGATCTTTCTATAACATTCATTCGTCGAACTATATTGATTTTACAGAAGATCCAAGAAGCATTTTTCTCTTCGTTTTATTGAAAATAATAACTTATCGAAGTGAATATCGGCTGTAAAATCAACTAGTTTGGTATAGACAAAAATCTGCCACATCGCATATTTGTTTGTAAATATATTCTTGTTTATTTATTTAAGAATTAGTCTTATTCTTCTGATGTATACATCTTTTAAGGCAAATAATTTCAGTCTTATATTTGACTATCTTGTTTATCATCTTGTTGGCATGATACCAAGATGAAAATTATAACGGGTGTTCATTTGGGTTAGTTTACTTAAAAATGAATCGCTCAAAGCATTTAAGATATTGTTTGCGAAGTTGCGAAACAAAAGCAGTAAATCAATGGTTCATATAACTGCGATTCAACTAGATAATAGCGGAATCAGCCTCATATTGAACTCTCAATCACCAATCTATTTGCAAGTACACATTATTGGATAAATACAGTTCAGCTTCTTGAAATAGAAACCGTTTTCTATAGATTATATTTTTTGTTTGAACAAATTTTCGAACTTGTTCAATAATTATAAACGAGTGTTCTGTTTGAAAATTGTTTATTGAGAAAATAATTGAGGTACATTTCATTTTTAGACATGTTTATGACTTTGTCAATGACAAAAGTTTCATTATATTACTCACTCTTCTTTGCAAACTCTAAGCAACAAATAGTGTAGGCTTAGCTTCCAATGATTCCACAAGTAAGTCAATTATCAATCGTCCCTATCTTGACAGTAACCTCGACGTTACAGGGTTAGCTGAAGTTTGTCGATTAGACAATCAGTTTTTAACTAATCGAAAAGGAACCAAAGATCTTATCAATGATTTTTAATTCAAAACACTTTCCTATCCTAGAACGATAATCAATTAGAAAGAGCATGTACATGTGCATATTCGGGTTCTTGTTTTCATCTGGTTGAAACATACAAAATGGCATTTGATAGTAATTCAATAGGTATTGTAGACTATTGAATTCGTATGAGAATTGTAACAGTTTTGTCAGTTAGCTGATGTGTTTATCATGTCTATACTTAATAGTAGACACACATAAGCCTCTTGCATATACTCTGTATTAAAAGTGGAACCTATGATTATCGAAAGAACAGATAATTCGTTACCTAGAAGCATTTCATGCTTGCAAACAGACTTTTTAGTAGAAACATCTTCAAGCTTCATGTCTGCGTATTCTTCCATCGAAACAATAAATGATGAAATAATCCTTATGCTACACAAATCTTTTGGTTTCAAAACGTCTAAATAATTACATTTGATTCTTGTTCATCATAAAATCATACTTTATTGATTTCAAAATTTCATTTCATCGAATAAAAAAAAGGTTAGTTTATATATACAAGAAAACATGTTCTTTCATTATTGTTCAAACAAAAGGAAACAAACGAGTTGATTTTTTTTCTTATTCACTCATATCTGTATCAATGGATGTATCAGCTAATTGATAAGTAGCAACCATCATTTTCATTTCATTAATTAAATCATTTAATGAAAGTGAATTCTCTCGAGTATTTTCACTTGATAATGAACAAAGTGTTGTTTGTAAAGCAGTTAAACATTCCATTAATATTAACTTATTGATATTACCCTTAAAAAGAATACGCAAAGAATTTTAGTTTTTTTTTGAATAAATTCAATTTACTTGTTGAAAAATACGTGTAATGAATTTAAATGTAAGTCTACTAATATTTCGACAAATAGTTTCTTCATCATTTTCTTCATCATTTATTGACATTTTTGTTTGTTGTCGATTAATATGAAGAATAAAAAGTGAACGAAGTAATTGAAGAATTACAAGAATTGATGATATTTGGGAATCTAATTCAAATAACAAAAAAAAAGGATTCATTAAAAAACCAAAGAAAAGAAAAAATTGATTTTTTTTATTTACTTTCAAAAATTTTTGTTTCAATATAATATTCAATACCAGATATATTTGAAAGAATTGTTGAGATTTTCGAATTGTTTTCTATTGCATGTATTAAACAAGCTGTTGTTTCTTCACTTACATTTAACTAAAATAAATTTTGAACTTAACCATGAAAAGATAAGAGAAACTATGGATAATGATGAGTTTTTTTTTAAGGTAGAATAAGAAGCGAAACAAAAGAAAAACATGCCCTATTTAGAGCTCTGCAGGATGCAGGTAACCTGCCCTGCCCTGCCCTGCCCTGACAGGGCAGGACAGGGCAGGCTGCGAAAATAGCAGGGCAGGGCAGGGCCAGGTTATGAAATTTTTACAGGGCAGGTTACAGGTTGTCCATATCGTAACCTGTTAACCTGAGATTAATTTTGAACAACCGACATTTCCGGTATCTTTTAAAAAAATTAGGTATGAAGAAAGATGAATTTACNAAAAAAATTCTGATATATACAGTTTTGTAGAGCTTGACGAGCTCTATCGAAGCATGTAAAAATATCAAAAGAAAATATCTTACTATATATTTGAATTGCTGGCGCCTTAATTTTCTATGGTCAAAAAAAGCATAAAATTCCGAAAATTTCGTAAGTTCCACATTAACATATTTTGATAACTCTTACTATTTAGTACTAATAAATCCAGTTTCCGACGCTCTTCAATTTGGTATAAAATTCATTAGGTATTCAACTTGAAATAATGACGCTACCCCCCTAGCAAAAGGTTATGCACAACCCTGTACAACATATATCGACCGAAAATTGTTTTTACGATCTATTTTACCGGTTAATACTAAATGTATTGGTCATCTCTCTTCATTGTCTTTACGTTCGGAAAGTAAATGACAAATCGATTCAAAAATTACAAGAAATGATTGATCTAGAGAAACTACTCAGTAATTATACAATTAAATATATGAGCAAAGAAAGTACTTATGTACAATGAAAATTACATTAAACATTAAACATTTTATTGATTTAGAATGACTTATACAACGTGTGTTTTGATATCCTAACTGATTCTTTATTTTAACTAACTAAACAATTCTTTAGCAATAATCATTTAAAAAAAAACGTTTATATTAATAGTGACTACACTTCTGATATATATGTCAAACTTAAAAGTTAAATTTAATTATTGAATAGTTGAAATTTGAAAAGTTGGATTTGAAGTATTCAAGCACTCACGGAAATACACACAAAAGTCGCCTGTCTCGAAATAGTTCAAGTATTGAATTTAACAATCAAGTTTGACACTTCTAGGAAGTATGAAACGAATTGATTGCAATAGAGAAACATAAAAACATATACGTAATGGCTTGGTGTCCTGTCCAAATCTTACTTTTGTATAAAAAAGAAACTCATATGTTTAGCTCTCAGTCTCCATTTAAAATAAAACTAACTACTTTTTTTTCTTGAATTCAAGCAAAGTTTAAATAAGGTATATGTTTCACATTCGTATTAGACCGTGATCATGCATTTTCTGTATAGTGGATAGAAATATCTTTTAATATGCACTAAAAAAGAGGTATATATCTGAAAGTGAAAAAGGAAATAGATCTGGTTGTGACTGTTCATGTAAGTGTAAAACGAAATTATTCTCAAGCACACTCCACACTCACCGAATCCCATTTTGATGAATGTTTGAAAATGACTAATATTTAAATTAATTTTCAAATTTCATTGAAAACAAAAAACATGTGAAGGTTCTCAAATTTCGATAGAGTACATCATTCATGTCTCTTTAAAATAAAACAAAATAGATCAAAGAATTATTCTTTAATTTACTCATGTAAAGATTCTCCGACACATCCCACATGATCGGTGAAAAAGATCAGTCTTTTTTCAAAATCTAGAAAAAAAAGAACTTATCTTTCGCTCCACGTTGTGATGCAAAAGGTGTCCATTACATCTGAAGGATGCAGTTTCTTAAGCACTAGAAAGCAGATAGTTCACATTTTTTTATATAGCGAAGTGACAATAAATTAAACAAACGAAAACTGATCTTTTCTACTAGAATGTTGATCATGTTGAACATTTTCAAGATTTTTTGATTCATATTTCAAACTGATCTTTATACTCGAATGTTTTTTATGTATCCTTGTAGAAAATTTCATGGTACACTTGTTATTAAAAATAACAGAGGGTATGATTGGGTTTATGTGAAGAAAAATAGAAAATAAAGTGTCCTATTTTCATTAAATCACCCCTTATATTTTGTCCATGGGTATCTACAAAAAAAAATATAGGTCTTTCTCTTCAAGCTCCCTTATTTTTTTAATACAATGTGCATCCGTGCATGACCAAGTATACTACACACATATTTATAAGCAAACGAATAACATTCGCTTTCACATTCTTATTTTTCATCATCATCAACACATCATTTACATAAATAAGAAATAGAAAATGGCTGATTTCGACCCATCAAGTGAAGATAATGGTAATATTCACTGTTATATTTTATTTTCAAATAATGGTTTCCGATAAAATTTGTCTTTCTTCTAGCTCCAAGTGGCATGAAACCACGAATTGCAGTATGTCCATCAAGACCCGGTCCTCACGTAGCAGTATGTCCACCAGGACCTGATGCCAACATTGCAGTATGTCCTCCAGGACCTGATGCTAATATTGCAGTGTGTCCACCACGTTCTGAATAGAACAATACAATTCGGATAAGTTTTGATATAACCTTTCAATTAAAGCCAATTTTTCTTATAAATTATACAAAAATTCAATAAACATTCTATCAACTAGTTTTTTATTTCTTCATTGATGTACTTATCATATGCACTTTTCTGTATCGATTGTATTCTTTATTATTGTTATTTTTATATATCTTAGTCAAAATAAATACAATATTTCATTGCTTCAAATCAATTTCCTGAAATATGACTGTTTGATTAAAAAAAAAACTATGATATATTTATATACGATCGATGTTTTTAATTTGAAGACATTTTGAACCTTATTTCTAATGTCTGAACAAATCATGACAGTTATAGTGATTATTGTTTCATTTCCTTTGTCATTTACGATGAATCGAAAGGCATTCTTGTGATAGACCACACTGTTCTACAATGGTTAAGAATCGAGAAAGCTCTATTCTGAATATGCCGTGGGTATGAATATCTTTTTATGTAACACTCATATTCATCTCATCTCCACATTAACCAAGAAATATAAGAAAAAAAGTTGATATCTTGTTTTAATAAATACCTCTTGATAAATTCGTAACATTTGATAGAATTCAATAGATTGACTAACATTTTGAATAGTATATGTATAGTATTCGAGTCTACATCTGATCTATGATATAGAATCCGAATATTTTGCGCAATATGCTTTGAGAAATCCACGAATATATTATTCTATAGGTTAAATTCGTATCTTGAATGTGTAATATGATTATATTAATATGTAGTTAGTTCAGAAAAGTAATTTCTGACTTGAATTCAAAAATTAACTAGTATGAATTTTCCTCTTCCAATAACTAAGGTTTCAGTTGTTGTTCTCACTACTTAATTCAGTGAAGGTGTAAGTTATGTTTTTATTTTTATTTAGTTCATTCAATAAAATTTATTGTTTAGGTTAAACATGAAGAAATCTGTGTTATAATTAAAGAAATTATCAATGCTTCATGAACAAATATTTTGATTTATACTGATGACGAAGTTGAATTTCATGATATGTCTTTATATATTTCATATTTTTTTCTGTGAGATACAATAGTTTTGTTGTTAGGTATGACAATGAATATTATTATTAAAATCATGTCATTGACCCTAAAAGGAATATTGCTGAGAAAGATCATGAAAAATCAACATAAGCAATGCTGTGAAATGATTACGGACATTGATTTATTAGTTTTATTCAGTTAAATTTTTTTTAATCTTAGTAAGACCATCTTTCTATCTGATGCCCTACAGTTTTAGTTTATATTATCATTTTCATATATGTAATATGAATTAAAACGAGTTTAATTTTTTTTTCTTTAGGTTAATTCAAATTTACGTGTATTCTGCGAGATAGGTCCACTGTCCAAAAAATTCGACAGTCATGGAATTCAAAGAAACCAAATGGAATTCATTGTTTGAAGTTTCTGACCTTGCATTATTTCTTTAAATTTTTGTAAAGAGTGTAGGATTTAGTATGGGTATCGAGTGTGCCATATTTCCTTTTTTAATAGACGATTGAAAATAACCAAAAGCTAGCTTCGTCTTATAATTTAATCTGAAATGGTAAGCATATCAAGATTCTCAAATTTCGAGATGATGCGTGAATCATGTCTCTTTAAAATAAAACAAAATAGATCAAAGAATTATTCTCTAATTTACTCATGTAACGATTCTCCGACACCTCCCACATGATCGGTGAAAAAGATCAGTCTTTTTTCAAAATCTAGAGATAAAATAACTCATCCTTCGCTCCACGTTGTGATTCAAAAGATGTGGATTATATTTGAAGGATAGAGCTTTTCAAGCTCTACAAAACAGATGATTCACATTTCTTATATAGGGAAGTGACAATAAATAAAACAAACGAAATCTGATCTTTTCTTCTAGAACCTTGATCATGTTGAACCTTATCAACATTTTTCGATTCATATTTCACAGTGATATTTGAAATCGAATGTTTTTATGTATTCTTGTAGAAAATTTCACGGTACATTTGTTATTAGAAATATAGAAGGTATGATTGGGTTTATGTGAAGAAAAATAAAAAATAAAGTGTCCTATTTTCATTGAATCACCCCATATATTTCTTCCATCGGTATCTACAAAAAAGAATATAGGTATCTCTCTTCAAGCTCCCTTATTTTTTTAAATACAATGTGCATCCATGCATGGCCAAGTGTACTACACACATATTTATAAGCAAACGAATAACATTCGCTTTCACATTCTTATTTTTCATCATCATCGACACATCATTCACATAGAAAAGAAATAGAAAATGGCTGATTTCGACCCATCAAGTGAAGATAATGGTAATATTCACTGTTATATTTTATTTTCGAATAATGGTTTCCGATAAAATTTGTCTTTCTTCTAGCTCCAAGTGGCATGAATCCACAAATTGCAGTATGTCCATCAAGACCTGATCCTCAGGTAGCAGTGTGTCCTCCGGGACCTGATCCTCGGATTGCTGTATGTCCTCCGGGACCTGATCCTCGGATTGCTGTATGTCCTCCGGGACCTGATCCTCAGATTGCAGTGTGCCCAGCACGTTATGGATAGAACAATACAATTCCAACAAGCTGTGATATGAACTTTCATGTAGAATGAGTTTTCCTTATTAACTATATAGGAATTCATTAACCATTCTGTCTGCTAATTTGTTACCTCTTTATTGATATATTCATTATATGCATTTTTCGGTATCGATTGTATTCTTTATATTTTATATTTATATGTATTTTAGTCGAAATAAACAGAATATCTCACCGTTTCAAATCAATTTCCTCAAAACATGACTGTTTGATTTGAAAAACTTATGATATATTTTACATAAGATCGATGCTTTTTATGTGAACACATTTTGAACCTTGTTTCTAATGTCTAAATAAATCACGACAGTTTTTGTGATCATTTTTCGATTTTCTTTGCCGTTTACAACGAATCGAAACGTATTGTTGTGAGACACCACACTGTTTTATGATGGTTGAGAATCGAGAAAGCTCTATTATAAATATGGGGTCGATATGAATATCTTTTTATTCAACAGTCCTATCCACCTCATCTCCGCATTAACAAGAAATATAAGAAAAAAATTGATATCTTGTTTTGATAAATACCTCATGATGAAAATTCGTAAGATTTAATAGAATGTTTGATTCAATCTGTCTATATATAATTCAACAGATTGACTAACGTTTTGAATAGTATATCTATAGAGTACCCGAGTCTACATACTAAGTAGTTTATGATAGAGAATTCAAACTTTCTGTTCAATGTACTATAGCAAATCAATAAAAATATGATTCTCTAGACGAATAACTTTTTAGACATTATTTTGTCGAACTATGTAATAAATAAATTATCATTGTGGCTCTCACGAAATTAATGCTGTTCTTTGCATTTATTATTCCACAAAAATTATTCAATCTTAGTTTATATAACTAACTATTACCATCTTTTGTTTTGTTACGGTGTACTATATAGAAAATGCATATTTTAATGAATTTCTGATAGTCTGTAAGTCCATCGATTTCTAAACATGGAAAAACAGATCATCTATGAATTTCATTTGTATTATGTAATAAATCAAACTTGTCTTGTTGTGTTCATATGGAAGTTGATAAGCAAGAAACGATGATTGAAATTTACAATGACGAAACGAATATTAGATAATTATCAATTATTATCAATAGAAAGGAAATGAGTGTCTACAGGGAATAAGCATTTGAAATAAAACAATTTCAATACTTCATTTGTTTTCATTTTTAGAAAAGATCCAGCAAATATTCTATAGGGCCAATATCATTGAATCAATTGATGTATTTACAACAGTTGACAAATGTCAACCACTTTTACATGCCAATGTTAAAAAATTTATAATTACAGCAGTATAAGTTGATGACTCAATGTTTGTTATGGCAGTCAATGGCGATCAATATCCAGCAAAAAAGAAATAGTTATTTCGAATGTATCATGCACAAAGAATTGTTTAGCACCGCTAGCTAAAGTCATTCACAAAAAAAAAAATTTTGTATTATGGAAGTCTTAATGACCTCTGTAATTTCTTACGCCGCTAAATAAAAAACTATTGATGAACCATCAAATAAAGTATATAATTAAACAAGAAATATTTTTATTATCCTTGAACGCTTCTAAATTCAAAAAAAAAATCAAGTGAAACTCACATGTTTGTAGCTTCTGATTTAGAATTGTTTGTGTCGATCTGTGTAAATCTTTCAGTAGGATTGTGTGCCATAGTATTTCAAACCATTCTCAATGTAAAATGCTTTGAATTCCTCGAACTTCACCGTAATTGCTGTAGAATATTCAATATCTTGATGATGGGTACTACTGAGCAGAAGAGTAAATATTTGTAAGCCATTGATTGTCACATATGATGAACGAAATCTATACATTTTCGTATGTCGAAAATTTCAACGCATTGAAAAAAATAACTATAATGATGTTAATATTTCTAACGATCAATATTTGTTATTTAATTTCAAATAACTATAAAAAATGCACTATATCAAGCGAATTCGTGGATTCGGAAATTTATATTATTGAAAAAGTAAAATTCATTTTTTTTTTATTTAAATCATCAAATATTTTAGAAACATTAGCAATAATTTATTGACTACTATCGATTGACTATGTTCGCTATGAAAGAGAAAAGCACATCAGATTAAATCTTTCGGAGAATATGCATAAGTAAAAAATGTTTACAATACCATTTTATATAGCAGAGCATAAATTCTTCAACAAAACAATTGTTATTGAAGAAAATAAAGTTAGTGATAGCGAGCAATGAAAGGATTGATATTTCCTTTGAAAACCATGAGCCGTATCATGCTGTACTTTCATATTTCAAAAGGATCATACTAGCACAATTCGTGTCTTCTTATAGGACAGCTGACTCAGGACTATACACATAAAATAGAGTATTAGCAATGTATAATAATGTAATACAATACATTACCACAGACACGTCACATGCATTGATTCGGGCTAATGTATTACTGTGATTGAATAATGTGATATCGACCATTATAAGAGATTTTTCTCTTTCCTCTTTAGATTCATTATAATGTAAATTATTCTTGAAGTCTGCTAGATATGTAGCCACGGAAACTAATTTCAATCGATTATACACAAGCAATGATCTATTCCATATCATTCGTTGATCTAATCAATAAGAAAACATATGGATTACTACTATCATTTGTCTCTATTGAATAATATCTGACATAATATTCGCTACCATCTCTATATTAATATAAATTCGTATTGTATTTTTTTCATTGTTATTCTTGAAGACAAATAAGAAAGCATTTAAACAGACATTGTAATTCTAAATGAACCGTTTACAAGTAAAGAGAATACTTCTTGTATTAAAAAACAAAAACATGACTTTAACAACACTTTGTTTTACTTCAATTAAAAACGTTCAGCAATTAGTACTGACAAATAATTGGAAAAAAAAAGGATGAAAATTTGAATGAATGAATCAATACTCATATAGATACTAAAATATCAGAGATTAAAGAAAAATGGCTTGATTATATATACAGACTCTTCTATTTCTTAATTTCACCTGATCGATAAAATATTTTTGTAAAAAGTTTTAGTTTATATTTCATATGCTCTGTTACCATTGGCCATTGATATCGCCAACTCCAGTTTTGTGGACAATCATCACCCGCATTTGATGCTAGAATAGAAAAGAGAGAATTCATTACTATTAAATATACATTCAAAGTACAATTTCAGACATATAGAGTCTACCATTATACAAATATGATTCTATGATCATGTTCGTTTTATAGAAAAGTTCAAGGAAGTTGTAGAACCAATATTTCAATAGTACAAGTCAAGAAAATAGAACTTTGCTAATAATGAGTCAAGCATCACATCACTTAGCTAATAGGAACTATCTTCAGAGTTATAATCGTTAACGGTAGCCGATCGGTTTGCATTTTTTCTTTTTTCTTTTTTTTTCGCAAATCAAAAGCTTTTTACTAATGTCAAAGATTATACGGGTGCGGTAATATGCATCAGACTATTCTTACTATATTATCTCAATTCACTTTGATATGAAGTCATGTTATTAAACAAAACCGGATAATTGTTCAGCATTATAGTTTTTCATAGGTTTTCTTGTATTTTCTACGATTTATAACATATATTTCCTACAGACAAAAGAATTAAAAAAAACGAATAAAGAATGGAAGGTAGATTAAGTATACATTTAATAAATATTATCGATTTCTAAAGATTAGTTAACTAAAACACAACATTAATATAGACTATGTAGTCTTATGAAGTTTTCTATCCACTGATAGATGCCAAAAAAGAGAAAACATGAAAATAAATAGTGAAAAGCATTATGATCGTGAAACTGCTTTTTTTTTACTATGACTGTAATAATTATGAGGCATATATATAACTAATCTAGGGGGGGTTAATTTAACTGTTATATGGTTAGAAAAAAAAAGAAGAAGAACGACGCATGCTAATATACCGACCGGTAAGGAAACAACCCTACTACTTCCAACTCTAAACTACTTACGTAATGATGGATCATTCATTCTTGCCTCATCATCTAAACCGAGTAGATCTTGAAATTGAATAATAGCAATATTGGCTACTGACGCCATGACCATTTTTATAAAATACCAATGAATATGCCAATTCAAATGATATATCATACCATTATCTTTATCGTCAACATTATCGTATTCGTCAAACCCTTCTGGAGATTTAATATAATTTACAAATGCTCTCTTTTCATAATATTCAGCATGTTTTGTCCACCAACCAATTGCTGTTGGATTGTCATGTGTGCCTGTGTATGCAGCACAATTTGGTATATAATTATGTGGACGATACATATTATCTGGATAAAAACCGAAACCAAATTGAAGTATTCGTATGCCAGTTAAATTGAATCGATCACGTAAATCAAATGTTTCTCTTGTTAAACTACCAAGATCTTCAACTATAACAGGTAAATGTTGTCCTAATGCTTTGAAAACAGCATTAAAAAAATCAACACCTCTAATTAACAAATAAAAACAAACGACAAGTATTAAAATAATGTTGTACGATATATATGGTACTTACGGTGCTTTTACCCATTCACCATCTACCGGTTTGAATGGAACAAAATTTTCATCTACAGGTATTGACCAATATGATTCAAGACCACGAAAATGATCAATTCGTACAACATCAAGAGTTTGTAATGCTTTTTTTAAACGTTTTATCCACCATTGAAATACTTGAGGTTTTCTCGATTCGTTATTCCAATCATAAATAGGCATGTTCCAGTTTTGACCTTCTGCACTACAATCATCTGGTGGAAATCCTGAACAAAGAAGAAAAAAAAAACACTTGTTTCGAGTTATGAAAAAAGAAACAATTAAATAATTGAACTCATTATCGCAGTGAGATCATAGTGAGATATCTTCTTCATTGTTAGAACTTCAAAACCTTATATGAAATTCGAAGATGCCTCAAATGACACTGTTATATTGGTCATAATAGGTTAATCTTCTTATATACATTTTTTTATTGTTTCATGTTTGCTAAAGCATGTCTATTGAGAATGTTCTCTTAACAGTTTTATATTCACACACTTAAATTTTCTTATTAACCTCGATTTCGTTTGAAGTTATCAACTTTCTGCCGTTTTGATCTATTCATTGTTAATCAGCTGCCTTTAGATCATTATGAGCAAATCAACGAGAACAAGAAGGATAGGAAAAAAACAAATAGTTTTAGAATTTTAATCGTATTTGAATCGGATTATTCGAATATATTGTTGATGAAGACTAATGAATCTGCGAAATATTTATAATTCACCTTAGTTTGCTACTGTCGAAGTACATTCCGACTTGAGATCTTTTCTTTTAAATTGTACATACGTAATCGTACACTATATTTTCAAATAAAAATACTGATCCATCTAGAATTAGTTATTCTTTGGTACAATATCGAAAACTTTAAGTTTTTTTTTTCTTATTCGTAACATTGCTCTTTATGCTACAGTTATTTAATGGAAATTCTATCTGATCATAGATTGCGTTTAATTTGCTTGATCCTTACATATTTATATCTCAGACTTTGCGAATATTCAATGCTTTTCTTCTTTAATAAACCGATCATTAGCACATACAACTCATTTCAGATTAAATCCATTGATCTAATTATCGGTTTTTACCAATCGGCGAAGATTCCCTAATATGGTATCGAAACAAAAATTTCTATGCATAAATATCTTAGAATATTTTCACTGTATATGTGATACATTTACATGAACATCCTTCAAATCGATTTTAATCTTATGAGTCGTGTAGACAATGGGGAAGAAAAAAACAGCATACGTCCGTATCCCATGTACTCCGGTAGTACACAAAGTAATAATGGAAGTACGATTTTATAACTAAGAAAATTCTAGACCTAAATCCAAGAAGATATCGATGTACTCTCGTACGTCAATCGTTCTCTTGCTATATTTCGCGTACTTCCATTTCACTCTCACTATAGTTGAATACGGGAATACGTCGTTTCTATCTTACATATCGAGCATAGTCAATTTATTAACTTTCGTGCTTTAAGGTATCCTATAGTTTTACTATCAAAGAGAAATCACAGACTCACAAAAAATATAAGAAAAAACTGAAAAAACAATTTTTTGTTGGTAATTTTGTCTATTTTGGCATGTTGTTGTGTTTTCTCAGGCAAATCAAAAGGGAGAATTTGTCGACTTTTATATCTCAATGTTTTATTCTACATGAAGAAAAACAAGTAGTTAAAATTGTTTTGAAGAATGTCGCTGTAAATATGTCATATATTCGATAGAATTACTTCTTAATATCCATGTTATATCATAGTAATGACGGATGTCTTTTGAATAACTTTTTTTTTCGTAGATAGAACGTGTAATTTCGTTATTCAACACAAGAGAAATTAAAGCTATTTTTTCTAATAAAATTTCAAAAAGTATTTTTTATATAAGTTTAAAAACGATTTCATTGACAATACTATAATGAAAATATATTATCTAAATTAAAGTTACAACTAAATAATAAAAAGTAAAATTATGCGTCTAAAATAAAAATATTATTACATAATAATCAAATACTTCATCTTAATAATCGTAGAAAAAAAAATAAGAATTAAATCCACAGAAAATAAACTCTATCTACTTTAAAGTTAGTGATCTATAAGGTATTTTCGTTTACTAACATTTCCATGGACACCAGAAAAATGATAGTTTTGCCTGTAGCACTTTCTCTATTTAAAAAAATCGTAAATTTATTTGAAAAATAAAAATCTCCCAATCAAATTTGATTCCTAAATGATCCATAAACAGTTACTTTAAAATATGTATACGTAACTAAAACGAACAAAAACTAATAGTTGAATAAAAAAACTGTTTTAATTGTGAAATTTTGTATTGGTAAACATCATAAAGACATGATCTTCACAAACTACATAAAATCATTAGTGTTCAAATATAATACAGTAGTATCACAAATTCGAATTAGTCGTCAATAAAACTAAACAACATGCAGAAAATTTTTTTATACAAATGCATCTCTAGTTTTTCGGCATTTGTTCATTTTTGTATTAGTTTGAAATAAAAGAAAATATAATAATATATTTTCATAATATCATTATCAATGAATTAATTTTTAACTTTTTCGTTAATACAGAATAAACTTCGGTAAAATATATGCATCTGTGTCATCAATAGATAATTTCAAATATTCTATTTTAAAATGAGACTTCTTCGATGCTATTAATTCTGATAGTTTAGAAAAAGAAGTAATCTCAAATCGAGTAACCACATAGTTACTATATAGGTCATGGTTATTGTAAAGAAAATGATAGAGATCAGATGAACGTCCTTTTTCATTACTATTTCAAAATGTATTTTATTATGATCAACAATGACAAAATGGACCGATATAGATGTTCATTACACTATTCCATCACTTCAGTTGTGTCTACTTCATAATAAAACACAGCCATATATACCAGAGAGAGAATTGCGAAGAAAGAGAAAAGTGAGTTACTATCGTTAATGAGGTCAGAGCGTCTAGCCTAATGTTCTCATATCATTGAATGGATAAAAAACTAAAGAAATGATGTCTCGTATTATTGGTACAATTATCTTCAAAATTCAATGGATTTTTGGGTTTGTAGCTATTTTTATGAGAACTTATTAAAAAAAAAAAACTTTAAATTTTCTGATTATATTTTATTTGAATTACTTGAAAAAAATTGAAACATTTTCTTTTCTTTGAATTTTGTACATGATGATTATATGAAATATGCAAATGTATTAATCTACTGATTCTATATTTAAAACAATGATATGTTGAACGCACAAACTTCCAGATAACACATTTAAAAAAAAATAATCTACTCAATTTTTGAAATTTCTGACCAAAATGACATAAATTTATTTAATGTGATGTAGTATATTTATATTTCAATGAATATTTTCGCTTAATATGAAAAAATACTTTGTTCAATTCTTACGATTAAATAAAAATTTCGAAAGAAACAAAATTCAAGTATTACCTGAAACAACCGATGGTAATAATGTTTCTTCGTCTAATTGAAATAGATGTGTATTTGCCCATACATCAGCTGAACTATAATCAACATAAACAGGCATATCACCAATAATTGTTATTTCGTGTTCATTAGCATATGCTTTCAATTCAGACCATTGAAGATGAAATATATATTGAATAAAAATATAATATTGCACTAAATCTTTTTGTGTTTCACGTATTTCTTGTAATGCTTCTTCTTCATGATATTTTAATCCATGTGGCCATTGTGACCATGTTTGATTGTTTTGTAATTCTTTAATTGTCATATATAATGAATAATCATCGAGCCAATAATTCTCTTCTTGAATAAATTGTTCTAATGAATTATTAAATCGATATTGTTGTTCTTGAAAATTTTTAAATGCTTTTTTCAACATTATTGTTTTAAATTTTGTAACTTGATTGAATTTAACATAATGATCATCGAAATTAAATGATGATAATACGTAAAAATCTTCTCTTGACAACAGATTCATATCAACTAATTTATCAAGACTAATAAGTAATGAATGACCAGCAAATGCTGATGTACCAGAATATGGTGAACAATTTTCAGTAGGTGTTAATGGTAATATTTGCCATACTTTTTGATCTGTTTCAAAGAGCATTTTGATGAAGCTATACGCTTCCGAACCAAAATCACCGATACCATATGGTCCCGGTAAACTGGTTATATGTAATAAAATACCTGATACACGTTTTGGTTTCATTTTGTTTAATATAACTTGCACAAAACGTACATATAATTTTGTTTTTCTTTAGCGTTCGATGTAATTCTATAATGTCACGTAATATATATTTATATATGCGTGTGGATGTCAATTGAGTGCAGACATAACAGACGAAGTTTTTTCCCTTCTGTCACGTTTTCTGACACGAGACTTTTATACACGTTTTTGCAAACAATGATGCGAGCGCACATATGGCAGAACGGAGAAAAAAAAATACTCTTATGTCTTCTATTTTGGTTTGTGCTACGATCTTGAAATAGTGCACGTATAGTCCTATAGATACGAACGCAAAAATGTTCCTTGTTTTAAAATCAGAGAATAAGGCATGCAGTGTTTCTCGGCGTCATATTACCATAAAAAACCTCAATTCTTCGGTACAGATAATTGCATCAAAATTTTAGATTTCGATGCTGAGAACTTTCTGATGCTGTTTTCAAAGTATTTGGATGACATATCAAGGGATATTTTGTTTTCACTTTTTTGTAGTATTTTTTTATCATACGAGACAACCTACCAACGGACAAGCTTCATGTGAACTACAACACTCAAGGGACTTCACAATTTAGTGAATAACCTATGTCAAGAAAGTCTTCGTACAAAATATTTGCTCATTTTTCAGTCACTCAAAAACAACTAGTGAGAGTCAAAAGTAATTAGTAAAACTTAGAATTTTTTGCTCTTTCCGAATATGGGCTCAGAAATGTTGTGTCAGTTTTTGTTCGAAAGTAATGAAGGAATCTTTGAAAGGCTAAAAAAAAATAGTTTGCACGAAAATGTTTTTCGTACATGCTCATTATTGGGATCCGAAACTAAATGTTGAAACTTTTGTTGATATATCAACTTGTAGAGTAAAATTTACTCTACAAAACGCACTATTTTACTTAGAAAGTAGTTTTTGAGAAAATGGTTATTACTTCAAACTATAGCTTAGTGCGATATCACATTCTGTAAAGAAAAGTTCGCTCTACAAAACCACCAACTCCGACAATTTTTTGGATCTTCGCAAAGGGACTTATGAGAGTTAGCAAAAACCCTGTTTGTTTGCTGCCCCAACCAATTCTGATGCTTTTCAAAGATTTCCTCACCCTTCTCGAAGAAAAACAGGCACACAATTTCTGAGTCCATATTCGGAAAGAGCATAATATTCTGGTCATAATCCATAGTTTTTCACTCTTCTCAAATATTTTCAAGCTAGCCGAAAACGAACAAACACTGCGTCTAGAAACTTCAGATCACCCGTTCCGTCCAAACTGTTTTTTTAGGCCTTTCAAAGATTCCTTCATTAGTTTCGAACAAAAACTAACACAAAATTTCCGAGCCCATATTCGGAAAGAGCGAAAAATTCTAAGTCTTACCAATTGCTTTTGACACTCACTAGTCGTTTCTGAGTGACTGAAAAATGAGCAAATATTTTATACGAAGACTTTCTTGACATAGGTTAAGTTGAATAGAAATCAAACAATCATGTAAAAAAATACTCGTTTGAAAAAAAAGAAGTGAGTGATTCTTGAACAATGACGAATGAAATTATGCTTTTCAATTTGAAGTATAGGCAGATACATAGATATGCGTGAGACAAAAGGAGAAAATTTTCAGTTTTGAAAGAAGTTCTCAGTCCTGTAGAACTCGAGAAGTTAATTCAATTAAAAATACATTTTCCGATGAAATGATTGAAAAAAGGACTAAAAATTTGTCGTCAATTCTTCAAATTTTCAGTAGGCAGCATACAAAATGAAAAGAAAAGCTTACCATATCGTACGCTTATTCGCAGTACTGGCAGTAGCTCTTACGACTTTCAATTCCAACTATAAACTATTCCAGAGTGTTTTCTACCCAAATTCGAATTCATCGGGAAAAAAACCCATGTCAATAGGACACGTTAGAGACACATGTGTTGACACACTGTATTTTTTATACGTCACGTGTCGATATATGTGTCGGTAGCGTGTCTTAGATACATAAGGATAAAATATGGACAAAAGTGAAGGAAAGAAAAAAAAATGATCATGAAAATTTAAATTTAGTTCTCCCTGGAACTAACGCGAGAGTAAAGAAAAAACTATACTCTATATAAATACTTCGTTTTTCCTTAGAAAATTAATTAGTTTCAATTTAGATGCCTGCGCTTTATTGTACAATCAATATAAAATGAATACGATTTTTTTTCTTCTTTTCTACATTAATTAACGTTTATCATGAATATTTTAATCTCAAATAAACTCGAAACAATGAAAAAACATGTTTAATGCTTTTTTATTATTTTTTCAATTTTTTTGTATACACGTTTTCTTTATTATTGTATTTTATTCTACAGACATTTTCTTATTATTTTTGTTTTAATTTATGGACAGTTTTTCTTATTTTTTTTATTAATAAAAAGAATAAAAAAAAACGTCTTTACAATAAAATAAAATAATAAAAAAGAGGTCTATACAGTAAAAAAAAATAATAAAAAAAACATTTATAAAATAATTATTGTATAGACGTTTTTCTTATTTTTGTTAGTAATAAAAAAAATAATAAGAAAAACGTCTATACAATAAAATAAAATATAATAATAAAAAAATTGCATAAAATAATTATTGTTTATGTATGTTTTTATCAAATAAAATTTGATTTTTGGTAGCTAATTCTAGCTTCAAATTATAAAAGCAAAGGAAAAATGCAGAGAGACAGGAAGGGGATTAGTCATCATCACGAATACTTATTGGCTAAACTGCTAGTGACAGAAAATGGACCAATAGAATTATTAGAAAAGTGACACAGACGCGTCCATCCAGGTCGTATGAAGTGAGCACAACATGTAAGCCGAAGAAATGTTGCACACTTCACGTAAGAATAGTGAACCAATCAATTTTCAATCCTTGTTTTACCATCATCGAATCATTTCTCTGTACATCAATGCGACATCCATTATGCATTCACATATTACGCATATCATTTTTTTATTCATACCCCTCATCGGCATTATATAAGCTAAATACAGAATAAGAGTCGTCGTGAACCATATTTCAGTTTTTTTATATGTTCGGTCTTGTTTTTTTTCGAAATAGTTTTTGCATGAAATATTTTGGAATTGTTTGTTCTTCGAAAAAGCAATGACATGTTTTAGAATACGTTAGACAGTGAAAAAGAATAATCATGAATCGATCGAATATTAGAACAGTTAATGGTGCTAAGCATAATGGTCATCTTGAACATCGTTATAAACACGTACAAAATCGAGCAGCTGCAGTTATTGATGCATGGAATGAACTCGAAGACGAAGAATCAATAGATCTTATTGCTCATCTGCATCGTATTTCAATTGATCAAATAAAAAACGACTTGTTAGGTGAACCATTAGATATTAAAAGACGATTTGGTATTGCATCAACTGATAAATTAGAACAAACTTTAAGAAAATGTTTAAAGGAAATAAATGAAGGAGTAAATCATGCATTAGTAGCTGTTGCAAATCATGTACCATTTAGACTTTTATGTTCTGTTCAAAACAATGGTAATATAAGAGAAATAGCAACAATATTTTTGAGTGATGTAAGGAAAAAGTTTAAAAAAATTGATTCAGAAACAACTGCTGTACATACTGATAAACCTGTAGAAGTAAGATACCTATAATCGAAAATGCTCGGTATTTTCTTTTCATTTTTTTGAAGAAAAGTACAACACTAAAATTATTGAATAAATCACCATTTCGTTCAATTGAAAATCAGCCAATCATCGCTACTTCACCTGAACGAAAAGAACAATGTAACAATATTTTTTTTATTTTTTCTTGCTGCCATGTTAGTTGTTCTCTAGCATCATCCACAAGACCATATCATACAAGTCATGCATTTTCACAATCTGATTTAAAAATGAGGTGGATAATGTTAAATGGTCCTGGTTGTGGTTTGAACAATCATGATGAATTCGGAAAATCAAAAAATATTTGTTATATTAATGCAATTATTCAATGTTTAGCCAATATGGCTCCATTTGTTCAGTGGTTGTTAGAGAATTCAATTCCTAATCATTGTTAGTTATTTTACTTATTGTTCATAGTATGCATTTTTTTTATATTGAGCAGAAGAATGTGAATATATATATCCTGTATTTAGCAAACGGTTCATTCGTTTCTATCTCGTCATTTTACAGTTTTTTTCAATAAACAATTTTAGCGTGTTCAATGAGTTATACGAAACTGACGTTTCGTAGTCAATACTTAGAATGTTTCTCATTCTATAAGTATATTTGGAACGTATCTATGGTTTTACTTTTATTAAGCATAGCTGTTATAGAAATTTTGAGTAACTATTGCAAAGTTTTTATTTCTTCTCGTTCGACAACTGCTATTTCTACAAGTAGTTTCGTTTTTACATTTTGAATCACATGCATACCATACTGGCTAATTTTGAGTACGTTTTGAGAAAAAAAAATTTATAATTCACGCAAAACATTTGACATGTATGTGCATAGGAATTATTTTATTCGGTAAAACATTGATTTTGTTTAGTCAATATTCACTTTTTTGTGATATATTGTTATCATGTCTATTATTTTTTCCTTTAATTGCGATAGTGTGGCGTATAAAAGAATTATCACAACTTAAGTTTAAATCAATCATGTTTCAGTTGAGCATTAATGAAACTAACAAGGCTATAATTAATTCAATTACAACGAAACTGTGTGAAAGGAAAAGATGTAATCCAATTTATTTTGTAGCATATAGCGATGGATATACCTGTCAGTAGAACGTAAACGATTTAATGGATGCTTTTAGCACACCATCGAATTAACAAATGAAATCAGATGCTGTTTAACATATTGGTTGGTTTTTCAAATATTTCCTTAATCTTTCTCGTCTTCTCGATACATAGATTTTGGATTCGAGTATCGTCATCGTTCTTTAAAGTTAGCATCTACAATTAATTTTCCAATTAGAAACTCTAAACAAGAAAGAAAACCTGGCGCAAAAGTCTAGTTATCTGCTTAATTTTAAATTTAAAGAAAACGTTTATTGTAAACGAACATAACACCTGCTTTCAGTGCATCAACAGTATAAAACTACCAAGGTGCCTTATTTCAAATAACTTATAGTCACTATTTATTTTTGAGCAAAGAATGTGAATGAAAATCAACGTTATAATAGTTTATATTCTATATGTAGAAGGCATGTCTTTTCTTTCATCTCGTTAGTATGAGAATTGCGCACTTATCACTTATTCTACGTCGGCTATCCTTTTATCGTTTCATCTCTTTCATGTTGCGCAATTTTTCTACTTTTTGAAGAAACGATTAATCACAAACAAAAAAAATATTATTCTCACTCTTATTTCTGTTTTATAAAAAAGAAAAAACATAAATATTAATGCTTGAACAGAAATAAGTTCAGTTCATCGTAAGTGATATTTGTATATCTTAGAATGATACATTAGAGAAATCTATATCGACTAAGAATATGAGAATAATGCGATTTTTAGAAAATGATAACTATTAGTCATTGACAAGAATCTCTTCAACAAACATTTTGTGAGAAACTAAATTTTTTACCTATTGACAATTGTTTTTAATTGCGATGAGAGCGAGAGAGAAAAGGACCACCATACTTGTTTTATTCTACCACTATTCATTATTTCTTCATATGAGGAGAATTCTATTAGAAAATACGTATAGTAACTTCTTATTGAGGTTTGAGAAAACTGAATAGACGATGATCAAGAAATATGTTTCAAAATAATATTAATGAAAATAGTTTTCATAGGTTAGCAACAATAGCTAACTTGTTTTCCACATTTTGATCCTATAGAGACTGTATTAAGTACTTTATTTCTACTGAGCCTATTTTCGAAGAAGTTACAGGAAATCATCAATATTATAAGTTTTATTATCATTTTACAGGTCAGCTGATGGCTGCCAACAAATTTTGTTCTGTTTGTATTCTACGTCGAGTTATTTGTAGCATTCATCCCCAACTTCACAATATATACAATTTACCAGGTGCTCCTTCTTATGCAACTGCAGAATCATTTGGTCAAAGCATAGAAGAATTATCTGCAGTATTCACCTTTGGTCGCCAAGCAGACCCATCGGAATTTCTACTGTTTTTATTTGATCATCTTATTTCATGTTTGAAAACCGATGAAGTTGTGATGAATATAAATTCATCTGTAAATCCTATTCAACGTATATTTGGTGTAAATATACTGTCCACAATTACATGCAAAGTTTGTTCTAATCAATCATCTGTTGAAACTTGGGAAAGCATTTTGTCTTTGCCGATAACTTCACATGCAAGTCTTAGTGGAAGTCTTTCAGCATATTTCTGCACTGAAGAATTAGAAAATGGTGATTTATATGAATGCTTTCATTGTAGAAAACAAGTATCAGCAAAGAAAACTTTAAAAATTGTTCAGCAATTACCTGTTGTTTTTTTTCATTTCAAACGGTTTCATTATGATTTAATGCTACAAGTAACTCGAAAAATTCATAAATTTATAATGTATCCGGAAATACTTACTCTTGATTCGTATTTTGATGAAATTAATACAGAATCAAACAAAGAAAATGATAAAGACGGTAGTTATTTATATCAGTTAAATAGTGTAGTTGTACATGTAGGTGAATATGCAACCAGTGGTCATGTTTTTTCTTATGTTCTTTCACCTGATGGAAATTGGTACAAAGCTGATGATGAATTAGTAACACCAGTTAAATTAGATTCTGTACTGGGTGATGAAAACGCCTACATCTTATGTTATAGTAAAGTACCCAAGATTTTAACACATGTATCTGACAATGACACGCTATCGTCTCCTACACATTCATCTTCTATTGTGATTTCATCGACTCCAATACATACATGTCATGATATTAGTGAAGTTAACAATAGTAATCATACAGTTGTAAGAAAAATGCTTTCTTTTGTTAATATATATAGTATGTTCATATCTTATTTAGGCAAATTTATTTGAAGAGGAAAGTCCCATTTCGTCCAACAACTGTTTTGAGCATGAATATAATAAAGATAACTTACTTTCAAATGAATATCTTTCGATTTTGAATGAAGGTAGGTTTAGTTTATGTGTTTCCAAAGTGTTTTTCAACTTGGATATATTGTTAGATGATTCTTCGATACAAGAATATTTATCTGAACATGAACGATCGTTATCAACGTTAACAGATACTTCAAGTGAGTAAAGTGATGAATTGCGTATGACATACGTTTTATTTGTTATTGACATTATTTCAGGTATTCAGTTGAATGAAAATATTCAAGATGCTGAAATTGGTAATGATTTTGTCGCTGAGACACCCGTATTGCATCAATTTCATCTTCGATCACTTGATCTTGCTAAATTACAGCTGATTAGAGCTGAAAAGACGAAGAAGAAAAAAAATCGTCTTCTTGAAAAAATGGGTTTATTTAATGAATCAGATATTCCAACAAATGCAAAAAAAATTTTTATTTCAAAACAAGCTAAGATATTGAAAACCACCCTTCACAAACCCATGTGCACTGAAGGTAATACTTCTCAGCTTCAATGCATTTTATAAATGACGTTCTTCATCTATTTTGATAAAAAAAACCTTGAAAATATTTACTGTATATATGTAGTCAATCGTGACTTTTAGTTTGAAAATGTTACCTTGCCCAATACAAAGAGATAAAAGACAAGATAATAAAAGAACAAAAAAAATACTCAGAATCAAAATATGAACAAATTTATAATATCATTCTTGCTTCTTGGTGACGTTCAGTTTTATGTTAATAAATTAGTTTTGATTTGAATATCTTGATATTAGAAATCAGTTAGCAATATCTAATCAAAAAGGACGAGAAATGGATTTTTAAAGACAATGCCTGGATAGTAAGCGTAGCCATTGTAATCTTGTGCATACATAATATTATCTTGTTACGTTTGTTGATCATATCATACTTTCTTTCTGAGCTACATTTTTAGGTTCATCAATACACATTGGTAGTAAAAATAAAAAGCAAAGTAATGTTGATGTAACTTATTTTTATATCTTATTGCCATATGTGAAGCAATTAAATAAATTTTGTGGCTTGTGCGTACGCAACTGTAATTTTGGTGCTACAAGCGATACACATCGGCAATTGCTCCGTTGCAAATTGAGGTGTAGTGGTCAACCTATTTGTCCATTCACCTGCTCCGTTATCATACAGAATAACGGGCAAGGAAACATAATCGTTACTAACAATAATGTAAGACACATTCAAGGTGTTAAGATATGTCGTCCCATAAGGGCACCATTAAGATCTGTAATTAAAAAGCAGTTTGCTAAAGGAGCATCTGTTTATCGCATGTATCAAGATAAATTACAACAACGTACAGCTGAACAAAAAAAAGCTCAAAATTATGATAATGTTGGAAAAAGTAGATGTATCTTGAGCAAAATTAAGTCAGAAGGAGCAATGGAGTATCTGTTGGCATCAGATGTAGACCAGGGTCTATTTAAATTGTTGGAAAAATTTAAAGCTGAAGTTAATCCAAATGGAATAATTAAAGGTGCAATTCAATTTATATCTAAATATCCCTGCCAAATAATCATCTATTCTGAATCGTCTATCCGATTGTTTGATACTCTTATAAAGCATAAGAATACTATTTTATCATGGGATGCAACCGGGAGTGTAATCAAGGAAAAAGGTTTAAATCGTTTACTATATTATGAAATGAGTATAACATTACCTGGTGTTGTCAATCAAGATAGCATTGTTCCCATTACAATAATGATTAGCAATTCTCATGCTTTAGTTGATATCACTCATTGGCTGATGTTATTCAAACACAGTTATTCTCAGGTAAACACATAGTCTTGTTTATATAAGAATATTTGAAAGATTTCACCATAGATGAATGATTTCCGTAGACTATTTTTACAGATCAAATAATAATCATTTTAACGCTTTGTTTTTTATTAGGTTTTTGCTGGAAGAAAAATTCCACAACCTCGTATTGTGCTAAGTGATAGAGCTCAAGTTTTTCTTATTGCATCTTTGAGAGTATGGAACAATGAAAATATGAACGACTTCCTCAACAGAGCTTATAGAATAGTCACTGGTTGTGGTACTAAATTAGATTGTGACAAAACGAATATACATGCATGCTTATCACATGTTCTTTTAGTAAGTACTGTAGCTTGATATTTTTTTTCCTTTGAAAATTTCTTTTTTTATAGGATTCCAGAAAAATCATTAACAAATGTATTCCTGATGAATTTCGAAATTTTGCTATGTGGTGTATAGCTTTACTCATTAATACATCAACATGGAATGAATTTATTAATAATTGGAGATTGATATGCTTTGTTTTTATCGAATTACATTTGGGTCAACAGCACGTTAATCAAGAACATCGAGAAGCTCTAATTTACAAAATAAGTAAGATCAAAAACGACACAAATACAACGAGTGTTATTAAATCAAGTGATACAATGCCAGATGATGATGCTAATAGCTTTTATTGCTCGAATATCTATGACTTTAATGAAAGTGCTGACGAGCAAGGCCCTGAACCAATTGCAAAATCAATAAAAAAAAAGGTTCGAACAACTCACATTGATACTAAATAAATACGTAAGCAAGAGTCATTACGTCACACACTGTACCATTGAAAACATTAGATAACATTTTGCTTCAAATTTCAAAGCTCTATTTTCCTATTTACAAATGCAAGTCATGTGATTTTGCATACATGCTGCTCTCTGTTGATGGCCTGTAGACCTCATAATCGTGCTTTCTTTGTTTTTATGAAACTATAAGCAATGTGCCAGAGATCTTTCTGTCTTTTAATCAATAACAGTAAAGAAAGAAGTTCTTTCTAAGAATTATAGATATCTATCATTCTGAATTCTCCTTACATATGATTTACTTTTTAATATAGATTACCATTGATGAAGAACAAAATGCCAATGCAACTAATTCTCCATTTAAATTTACAATTAATCAAATATTTTCGGATATTTTAAAAAGTTATGGTATTTCTATGGAAGAAGTTCGCAATAAAAATTCACGCGGCATATTTAAATGGTTTAAATATTTAACAACTTCATTTATGCCCACATTGCCCATATGGTCAAATTTATTACTTGGTAAAACTTTTGATTTTATATTTATATCAATAGCCATATTCTCTTATTTGCTTCTGTAGGTGATTTAAGTCGTCATAGTCGACAAATGGTTTATTCATTTGAAGCTATAATCATCAACAATGAAGAACAACGTACTACTGCAATCAGTGAGAGACGGATGGGCATCGTAAAACGCAATCAATTAGGTAAAAGCAAAAGAAAGATTTATATACATACTAAACAAATGTATTCATAATTAAAATCGAAAAGAGATTTAAATGGCATGTAACAAAGTCTGATAAAAGGTCTTGAATAAAAATACCTGATCGACAAAAACCCATTTCTATTTCTGATTGTTTTATAGAACTACAGCGAACTATTAGTAAATTGTAAAACTGACAAATTTATCAAGATCCTGTGAGAGTAATTATTATAGATCAAAATACATAAACATTGATTAAAATCATTCAAGATTTACGAGTAGGATAAATTAAAATCATAGAAATTGGTTAGAAGTCTATGAAATATCGTATACTTGTCGGATATATATGAAAATTCATAAAGTCTTTTAATCATCTATCATTACTATCGACTCACATTGTAGAGTATCCATCTATATCTTGTGTCATGTTAACTGATTTCTATATCTTAGGTGGTGAAATACATTTACGACTTGATATTTTATTGTCAATCTTAATTCCAGATATGCTATCCATGATTGACGAATATTGGAATATGTTACTTAGTTACAGAACAACATCCATCAATAGTTCAAATAATGATAATACTATGATTGTTGATGAGCAACGTTTTAAACCTATCGAGGAACGTTGGAGGCAAAAAAGTTCAAAAAGAGGTACAGGATACTATACCAAGTGTCCTGATGAGCCGATTGTTACTGATCTTCTATCCTGTCTATTAGCATCACAGGTAAACTTAAATCAAAACTTAAAACTTCCTGTAATTAGTCCTAATTGGTTGAATACTGCGATTGGTATGTTGTTGTCGGTCGGAAATAATGATACTCATCATTATTCATATACTTTATCATCAACAAATAGTTCTGTTCTGATATCTGAAATTTCAAAGTTTTTGGAAAAATGGTTTAATTCAACAACAAGTTGTAGACCGACAAGAATTAATATTTCTTCATTGAATTATGAAATAAATCAACCACTTGAACAATCATCATTTATATTAGAAAAAATTTTAATACCACTACTTCCTTGTCATATGGTAGTCAATAAAATACATGTATGCAATAGGTGTAAATCAACAACAAAAGTGCGTTCAACCATTACATCAATTCCCATAAATAGTTCATCAACAGGTTTATATCTTGAAAGAGATCTCTTCTCTTATTTTTCTCCTACACAATCAGATTTACTTTGTTCCATTTGTAATATTCCCACTATTCGCCATATGGAGGTGCAACAATGGCCTCCAATTCTATTGTTAAATATTACTGATTCAAAAAAAACCATTAAATACCGAAAGCCGCCTACAATGCTCTCACTTTCACAATTTGGTTCTTGGATTGCCATTGGCTGTCCTTCTTCAAGTATATATCATTTAGTGTGCTTCAATAGTATTATAAAATCTGGTGAAGATGAAACGATGGTGAGAATTACAAAAGTAAAAAAAAGTTGGCAAACAAATATTCATAAAAGACCACTTGGTGAAGGAGATCATTTACAACGACTTTATGCGAACAGTCGTAAGTATCAGCAACTTATTGAATCTTTATCAGATTATTCTTTTCAACTTAATTTTCAAAGTGGAAATAATATCTTTTGCATTTGTTTCGCTTGCATAAATAATTCTTTTTCTGTAGGAATCGTAGTCTTTGAACGTATTCTTGGTTCAAAAACATTTAACTTGGTTTATGCTATTGCTCAATGTACACTAGAGAAACCTTCATGCTTGATCGATGGCATTCCACAATGTACAAGTATTCAAGAAGCTATTAGTACAATTGAAAGACATCCTTTACTGAACCAATTAAATAGTGCTCTTATGTCAGATATTAAAACCAGATTTTCTTGTTCTTCCTGTTATGAAGCTTCGGATTCACTCGAAGAACAAAGTTGTCAAATATTTTTATTTAAGTCAACGATATCAAACCAACTAGTAGCTTATCCTATCATATTTAAAAATAATGATGTAAATGCTGATCAAAAATATTGTACAAAATGCCATTGTTCTGCTAAAAATTTGGTCATGAATGTACACAAGCAAGTGTTTGTCAAATGTCCACTTTATTTAATAGTAAGTGTTTTTAATTATTTAGTTGAAATCTATAAAATAAGCTCGAAAATTCTTTTTATTGAATGGTCAACATAAGAACACTTAATAGAATATATACAATAAATAGGTTTAAGTAAAAATCTTTTCATGAGATATCCGATTTTTTCTTGTTAAAATACTCAATGTTTCAATAGTATTTTTAATAAAAGAAAATGAAATTGTAATTTGTTACTTTTCAGAGATTTGTTGATCAAAATTCTCATATATCAGATTTACTTAACACAAACATTCAATTGAATAATAGTGAAAATATTGTGTGTGATTATGAACCAATTTCGATTTTATTAATCAGTCGTTACAATGACAGAGCTACGATTATCAAGCAACAAGCTGCTGTCTACGTTCAATATATTGGTGATATGTATGAAAAATCATCACATGTATCAAACACACAGATTGCCGATCTTTTCGACACGTCTAGTTCTATATTAGTCTTTTATCATCAGGTATGCACAGACAAGTTTCTTTGTGTAACTTTTAAATCATATCTCGATTGCGCTCACAATCAATCCACTTATGTGTCATAGAATAAAGATTAATTTTACAGAGAGTCGTTTGAGAAACTTGAGCAGCTTAAACCGCAATTATGAAGTTTAAAATTTTTTGTTCTTGATCTTTCTTTCGCACAATCACATCAATACTATATATACGCATATTATAATGTATTCAATCGTTATAGTCTCATGCTGAAAATCTACAAAGAACAAGTGCAACAGCACCGGCTACTAATATTAATACTACAACTTCACAGATGCGAATCGTTTCTCAAACAAATGTCAATGGTACCCAACGCCTTGTTATTCAACAAGGAGATAAATTTTTTTCAGTAAGCAGTTTTTTTTCTTATAATGCCAAGATTTCATTAATACTTTATTTTCTTTCAAATAATTGAGATAACAGCGCAATCAAGGACAATAACAAACTAAGTATTCGAACTCAATTATATTTCTTCTTTTTTTGCTAGTTCAATTTTTTTCATATATGTCATATTTATTAAATGTATTCAATCGCTAATATTTTTTTCTATATGTTATTGTTATTTGTTATCTGGTGATCTTTCTTGTATTAGTTATAAATAAAAAAAACACTTTTTTTTTCAAACATCATATGTTTTATTTACTATGTCTTTTTACTACGAAAAAAATATTCTGATATCATGAATGCCTATTTTCTTAAATTATCTTCATTCATTTACATAACATTAGTCGTTTTTCTATAACATAAAGAAGCAATAGCAAGGAAAAATATTAAAAAATTGCTCCAATATATTTTTTTATCACTAGCGACCACTATTACATCTCTTAATGCATCATATATTATATAGTTGGAGTATACTATGGACATGGACTCCACTTATGCTCACGCTAACTTGTGCTCACTTCATACGACCGTCCATCCATGACACCATGGTCGTACATGTGTCGCTAGCGTGTCGTATTGACATGGGAAGTTTGACAATAATTTGACTATAGTAAAAATGTTTGCAGCGCCATCTATAATAAAAAATTATCTCAGAACTGTGACCGATTTCAGTTCTGTGACTAGTACAGGCGATTGAGATGTATCAGCATTATAGTACTCTAGGGAAATGGACCCAATTTTGTTAATTTTAATAGAATTAAAAAATATTCACCCGTTTTGATGCAATACACCACTTTCAAAAAACATCCGGCGGTTTTTGTCCGGTTCGAATCAGATGGGTTTTCATTCGAAGATTATTTACACACCAAAATCGGCCATCTAGATCTGATTGATACTTTGTATGATGTTTGGCTTGTGTCCCTTGGTCTAGGAAATTGAAAAACAAGTGAGAAGCATTTGAAGCTAAAAAAAACTTGAACGAGAAAGTCTTGTTAGCTGAAAACTTTAAGAGTTGAACACAAAGTTTTACTAATTTTTCTCATCATTTTATTGAAAAAGGCGTTTTTAGTTGAACCAAAAAGTAGAAAGATACTTTAAAACACAACAGCCTCATTGATTTTTCCATCCCCCATGGCTGCCCATTTCTCAGCATAGTTTTGGGAGATGGAACATTGGCTGTTACTGCAGAATTATTTGCTACGCCACGCACACAAGATCTTAAAAATTCCGAACATTTTATTTGACACATAGCTTCACCTTTTTATACAATCATCCAGGTCTCATCGTTCGTACAAACCGAATTTCTGAAGAATTCATCGTCTTGAAACTGATGTCAAAGGTATTCTTCCAAGCCTGCAAAAGATAAGTTAATGAAATGGGAATAGAACATCTCTACTCGTACCAAGAATAAAATCAATGTTCGAATATCATCAAAATGAATCCTAATTTACATGTGTGACAATTGCTTCAATGTATTCAGATCTATCAAGGAACTGAAAATATTAATAATTCATTCCCATAAAGCTGCATGCAAATCAATCGAAAACAGAGCGACTTATCACTTGAAGAAAAGGCAAGTTCACTCTACTAGTCTTAACTTTTGCTTTTCACGAATCAACTTCTTGTCGTAATAAAATAATAAATTAATGTGCTTTTTCTAAGTAATAAATAAAGATACATATAGAGTTTATTTGTCGATGCGTTTCATGTTATTTATTAAAATAAAAAAAATACTCATCAGAACTCTGCATGACATTCTTTAAGCACAGACAAGAAAAACTGAAAAGAACATAATTAAAAAATGAAATCAAAGAATAAAGAAGTGACGGATCAACCCAAAACAAAAGATAATTATTAGAATTAGATGATACTGTATAGTAAAAATGCATTTGTTAACATCACAATACTTTTGATATCAAATAATATTTCGAGAAAAAAAATTTAAGTGCGTTATCTGAAATTATATGCAAACTAAATTTTGCGTGTGGACAAGTCAATAATTTAGTCAATATTGAAAATGATCAATATCATTTGTCTGTGTGTATAATTAAGACTTGAAGGAAGTATTACATTTAAGCGTGAATATTTAGCAATTGATTAATAGCACTATTCAACGAGATGAAAGTTAAAACAATTTGGTCAATATTTAATACTAACTTAGATGAAACTATTTCACTGTACTTTTAGAAAATATATTAAAACTTGAATTAAATGTGACGTGTAAATAATTTTGAATATTGTTCTAGTTAATCAAAATATTGAATGAACTTTAATTGCTCTATTTCACAATGAATCAATCAATGTTTTCTGTTAAATTAGATCAGAACGTTTCATTGTGATACGTGTAAATTAATTTGGGTACATTTTCCATATCTAAAGTTGAACTAGATGGATACTTTTGAATAAAAATGTCTTTATTAAAACCATGTAATTGCCTTAATTTTCAAATGTTGAATGAGACTGATGCTTTTAAATAAAGATGTACTTACTTATATTATGTAATTGCAACGGATCTTCAATACAAAGAATCTCAAACTTGAAATCAGACATAAATCAAATAGAATCCTATGTTTTTCGTTGAATGACACTTTTGTTGAAAAGCATTTCGTCGACGTAACTTTGGGGTGTGGATGCGCGAGCAGATAAGAATGAAATCCATATCACATATCCTCACATCGAGGGCTGGACAATATCCTCCAAAATCGAGAAATTGTTCCATTTACAGCAAAAATGCTTCACCCCTCACAAAGTCAAGACGAAATGCTTTATAAAAACAACCACAGCCGTTATATCAATACATTTTTCAAGCAGAAATTCTTGATCCATTTCTCCGTCCACAAGGAGAAGTCAAAAAGACTTAGAGAGATATCGATGATATCCCTTTTCATTCTAAGGAGATTTTCTAGTAGAAATGGATCATTTTCAGAAGAAATTTAAGATTTTCAAGGAGAAATTATTCATCCATTTCTCCCTTCACAAGGAGAAGATCAAAAGACTTACAGAGATATCGATGATATTCCTTTTTCAGTCTAAGGAGACTTTCTGGTAGATATGGATTTTTTTCAGGAGAAATGTAAAATTTTCAAAGAGAAATTGTTCATCCATTTCTCCCTTCACAAGCAGAAATCAAAAAGACTTAGAGAGATATTTTTTGACTATAAGAAGAAATTCTAGTAGAAATGGATATTTTGCAGCAGGAATAGAAAATTTTTCACTAGAAATCTATAATCCATTTCTACTCTCACAAGGAGAAATGTATAAGATATAAGGAGAAATCGATNCATTAGAAAGTTTTAGGGCAGGGTCCGCAAAAATATTCACAGGGCAGGGCAGGATCAGGTTACAAAAAATTTACAGGGCAGGTTACAGGTTATAAAAATCCTGCACCCTGCAGCCCTCTAGCCCTATTATCGTCTCTTATTCGAATTTGTCGCACTTTTTTTATCGGAAATTTTCAATTGCTCGCTTGTTTTTAGCTATTTTTGTTACTTTCTATCAACTGAATTGTTTTTGAAAATTATGCGAGGAAAATCAAGTACATTTTACTGAAAATCATATTTCTGAATAAAAAAAAAAAAAACTTGGAATCTTCTTCTAGAATGAAGAGATGAGAAATTAGTTCGAGATTATTAGAAAAATAAACTATTTGTACAATTAGAAGCTTGAATTGTTATGCTCTTGGTTTCTTTTTTTTTTCCTAGCACATGATACGATCTAGTAAATTGAAAGTTTTTTCATAAGTACTTTAATCAGCCCTCGTGTTGCGTTCAGTTGTTTTTCTTTTCAGAAGTGCCGTTTGAAACTCGGGTGCGGTCAATAATGATCTGAAGAAATGCGAATTCGATTTTCGTGGAAGCATCGACACCTGACCTCCGCGTTGGATATAACCCTACATAATCTGTGGTGCATGATTTGTTCTTAAAGAGAGAGCAAGATTGTCAATCTTTTTTTGCGGTGAGGGGAAGGGGATGCTAAATATTCGGTGGAAAGTACTTTCATCATCGCATTGTTAGAAGTGATGATTGCTGGGATAAGAACGAAACTCACCGTGACTCGGCTCCTTCCAGAACACTCAACCTGGCATAAGGACGCCTCTTTTGAGACCTATGCCGATCGCAACGACATTTACTGCTTATCTTTATTTCATTTTCTGTCAGACAATGGCAAATACTGTTTTAAAATCTGGTTTCTGTCTAAAAACACCACAAATCTGTAAAAAATTGGCAAAAGGTCACCTATTTTGCGAGAATGAAGTCGCCCTAATCGAAAATCTTCTATCCTATATGCTTCAATACTCCTTTTTTGTTTGTGTTTCAATATTTTTTCTTCCTCAGAAAAAAAAAATCGGTTAAGAATAAACGATTATGTTCATAAAAATTTTTTTTACCTGAAATATGTTCATATAAACATGAATAATATAAGGCCATATTGTCGTTGATTGAAATTGATCTTCATTCATTTGAATAAGACTTAGAAGATAATTTAAAGCTAATTTTTGTGTTCGATTGTTATCTTGAAATATTCCACTTGACCAATGATAAATCATTTTTGTTGAAAACATTTCTGGATAAATTCTATATTTAAACATGAATTTGTTTTTGTATTTTTCTTAAATATTTTCATCAAATAGAATACTTACGTTAATATATCATTAATTAATTTATATATTGAGGTTGTATTTGGTACAGATATGAGTTCGAATTCATCAGATGAAATATTTATTAGTAAATGTTGAATATATTGACGAATGGATTCTTTATCAAATTCATTATGAGTTAATAATGTTCGAAAAACTCGAATCGAATTATTAAAATCAGATTTATCATCCTATATATCGAAAAAAAAAAAACTAAAGATTTCTTACATAAAGAAAAATATTCTAATTAACCTGTGAAATAATCGAATAGATACATTCATCAAAAGCTTCTTTAGATATCCATGAATTCGGCCAAATTTCACATAATTCAATCAATGCTTGAAATGCCATATGACTAATTTGTGATTCAGAATCACTTAAATTAAAGAAATAAAATAAAATAAATATAGAAGAAAAAAGACTTACGAAAGACGAGGAGCTATTGCTTTAGTGAAAACCATTGATACAAATTCGAACATTTTTGTTGCATCCTAAATAAATGATCTTATCCTTTTCTTTTTCAATTGCTAAGCAAAAAATTTCAAGTGATTGAATTATTATTTGATATTTAGAATTATTTTTACAGAACTCAGCAAAATCGTTCAATTTTTGTTTTATATTTTTGATTGAAATAGAATTACTGATTGAGTGTTTGGCTTAATTTCTAGAATTCGACAAGTAGGATGAGACTGAATATCTGAAAGCAGATGATTCTGCAACATGATGAAAATACTTTTCAAAGTAATGATGTGCTAAAATATTGTAATATCGAACTTTAAATTCACCATATCGAAGTGAATGCACTAATGGCAGAATCAGTCGGGTGTTTAGCAGAGTCTCCAGCTACTAGAATGCATTGTTCGAAATTAAATTCAGATCTTCATTTAAAAGTTTGAAATAATAAACGAATTTGTTGATTGTGGTATACATCTTGATGAATATAAGAAATCCAGTTGAATGACAATTATAAATCTATATCGTTGCAGAATAGTGTCCGATATGGATCAAATTTTTATGATTCGATCAGATCCTACTTGAGTGAAACTGTAGTATCGACCACTTTTGTCTTTCTCTTGAAAAAAAACTTTCTTTTTTTTTATTTCATCGTTGGAAACAGCATTTGTCCATTGATATTTCACCGATATTCCATAATGGAGACAACACAATTAGGTGATAGAGTTGTTTTTTTTTTTTGTCTTTCTTTCCTTATGTATACAATCTACAATCTTTATATCATCATCAAAGAGACAGTGCACTCGATAAACATCTTTGTTTGATGCCAATAAAGGTTGTTCTACTGTGCTTTTTCCACGCTCTCTTATAGAACTTTTAAATGAAAAAATGTCTTTTGTATCTGTAAAATGTTCAGACTGCAGATCCACTCGGAAAGCCAAAAATTTTTTCGTAATATAATCCCAATAGGACACTACTACAGAGTACTGTTCAAAAAAAAAAATTCATAACAGAAAATATTTTTAGGATTTTTTACACAAGATCCTTAACTTTAGAAAAAAAACTAAATCGTAAAAATTCTGTTGAATATAAAATAAAATTAATGATTGAACGTCTTACCTTATGTCCAATGAAAGGTGAAATTTTTCCTGGTTTATTTCTTCTTCCATGAGCAACAGTTGTGATTAAACCACGAAGAATAGCTTCAACTAAAATAAAGTAAAAATCTATTTTAAAATTGAATTCAATATTATATCTTACGAGCAAGTAATATTGTAAAACGATATTCAACAATAGCTGATTGAATATCATCGATTAATAAATAAATAATTTTTTTTAAATTCGTTTCATTATTTATTCGTATAATATCATCAAAACGAAGACAAGCAAGTGTTGAAAAAAATGCTTCAAAACGTTTATAATTTTTTCCTATTTCTTCATCTTTTGATGTTAAATTCATTAAAACTTTTTCACCGGACCAATTCTAAATATACGAGAAAAAAAAAAAACAACAACAAAAATTCAACTAATAAATAAATATCTGTTTGATTTTTGTTTTTATTGTTGTGCATCTTACTTCTTTAATAATCATATCTTTTTCTTCTCGATTCATATCAATAAATTGTTCAAAATCATATGTTTTAGATAGACAACCAACACGTAATAGAATAAATGAAAGTATATATGAATTAGCTGCTTCATCATCCATACTATCGTAAAGTGCAAGTGTATTTTCAACTAATTGACTTGTTGCTAATATCATCTAAAATATTTTTTTTTTATATATTTAAAAGAAAATAATCTAGAATGCACTTACGGATTGACCAAGACTTTTTTTATAATAAATATTTAAATACTGTTCAACATAAGGATATCGATTTGAAGATAATTCCGTTGGAATATTAGCTGTTGTTGTTGTTGTTGTATGTGGTGATGGACTAAAATTTGATGTAACAGTAAATTCACCTGATTCACTTGGTAATGATGAAAATGATGTATTCGTATTATCAGTAGATAAAGAATAATCTTCTTGAGATAATGGTGGTCGAACCATGATAATATAAGAAATGAAAATGATTTTCGTTTTCTATCAGATATAAGATATGACAAAATGATTCGCTGATTAACGAAAAGAATAAGAGCGAAATACAAAATGACGTATTATAGTAGTAATGATCGTTCGTTCTATTCAATCATGAAGAAAAAAAAAAATAGGTCATGTTGAAGAGACTAAATTTAACAGTGCATATATAAGTTTTATCATTATTATTCATTAGAACATCTCCTTCATTTTTTAAGATGATTGTTTTTGTACAACATTAAAATCTCAGAAATAATAGAATGTTGATTGAAATATCTAATTGTTAATTTATTAATACTTTTGTAAATGATAGCGCTACTATCTTCGCTGTTTCAATAACAAGATTATTAAAATTCTTGACAAGTTCTACCTATATTTATTTGAGAAAACAAAATGGTTCTAATGTAAGATTTATTTCATTTTTCTCTATTTTCAATAATAATCATTCTATACGATAGTATCTATTAGAGTTCATTGTATTTTATTTCTAATGGCATTTACAAAGTAATAACTTGTCTAATATATTTTGTTTCAAATTGATCAAAATAATCATTATGATATTATCTATTTAGTTATAAACGAAACATACCTATGATTTTTATTAATTAATAAATGCGAAAACCTCGGATTTAAATCCGAGTGTTATGTGTACTTCAAAAAGTGAAAAGGTATATTCACTGTGTTTTTTATCACTAAATTGCAAGGAGAAAATACAGACGTGCTAAGTTAGCATGG